TACTATGAATAGTTGAATCGTATAAGTCCCAAAAGGAATTCCACTCAGTTACTTTACCTCCATATTTAGGGAGTTCCAACTTCGGAAGCTTGGGCAAACTTGGTACAAAATGTCCCATCGGTGTTGTTGACATTGTCGTAGTTGTTGATTGCTGTAATAAAGGCGAACTGTTCCCTAAATTTAAACTCGTATTTTCCTCGTTTTCTTCGATCGTAGCCGGTAAATTATCAGTTGTACTTTCGGTTGTATTTTCGATACTTTCCTGTTCCATACTCGTGCTGGGAGTCAGGTTCGAATTCGTAACTATAACATTCGTATTATTAATATGACCCTGAACTTTTGCAGACTTGGCAGATTTCGTGTGTTTGTCGATTCTTCGCTTCGTATTCGAAATTCTATCGGAAATTTCGGCTGATTCTTCGATTTCGTTTTGTATATCACTCACGTCGCAAATATCCAATATTTCTTCGTCGATTTCGCTTAATAATTTCAGTTTTTCTTGGAGTTGTACAGCAATAACTTCGCTTCGTTCGATGTGATCTCCTTCGCCTTCGGGTATTTGTAATAATTCAGTCGCTTCCTTTTCGAGTTTTGTACACACACCGCGATGACCTCGTAGTCTGGCACGTAGCCTATTCAATTTTTCCTTCACTTCGTCGGCCATTTCGTAATTTCGGGTTCGATTGGGCGACTTTATTTCGAAAAAGTCTGCCCCACGTTGGGCGCCATGTTATGCTCGTCGCATAATATTTATCGCATTTCCTCGCTCAATACTTAACGTTCGTTCAATTAACACACGGATAACATTAAAATTATATAAACTTTACTATCAAATAATAAGGTAAAAGACTTAAACATAACTAACGTTGAGTTCGTAACGAAATATCCTCGAATAATCGAATATAATATAGATAATACACGTTCGATCGAAAGAATATGAAACTTGTTGTTTTATACTAAAATTCCCGTATGTAAAAAGCGAATCGCACGTGTTTAGCCTGCGAACAGGTTCAACAGCCTGCAATCAGGCTCAAAGTAAACGCAACAAATGTTATTGAAACTCTGTTCATGTCTCACAGTTTATCACATCCGACTCCGGAACTCCGACTCCGTGTTTTCCATATTTTTATGACGTCAGACTCCGTGTTTTCCATATGACTCCGTGTTTTCCATATTTTTCTCTGACGTCAGACTCCGTGTTTTCCATATGACTCCGTGTTTTCCATATTTTTATGACGTCAGACTCCGGGACTCCGACTCTTCCATCTAACCATATATATATATATATATATATATATATATATATATATATATATATATATATATATATATATATATATATATATATATATAATATATATATATATATATATATATATATATATATACTATATATATATATATATACTATATATATATATATATACTATATATATATATATATATACTATATATATATATATATATACTATATATATATATATATTATATATTTATATATTATATATATATATATATATATATATATATATATATATATATATATATATATATATATATATATATATATATATATATATAACTACAGACGGTACCGTTTCGGCCTTTTGGGCCTCATCAGTGTAGTGCTGATGAGCAGGATGAAAGTAACCACTATAAATAGTTACCCTTGATGTCTCACGAATGTGGGACATCAAACCATTGCCAGAGTGCTCAAACTGCAAGCAGTGAGCATGCGCACAATGCGTAAGCAGCAATGGCTCATCCTGTAGAGTGCTCAATATGGCACAAAGGCCATAGAGCAATATCTAGTATATTATATATACTAGTATATTATATATACTAGTATATTATATATACTAGTATATTATATATACTAGTATATTATATATACTAGCATTGTTCGATGCTGAATTAATATAAACGAGTATGTTTATGACATTCAGTATATATTTCATAATTTCCAGTCTTAAATCCGTCTGACCCTGGTAAACTATAGTATAACCTTTACTTGAGTTTCATTAATTTCAAACAGACTTGATACGTTATATGTTCCTCACGAAAATTATCTTTTGGTTGATGTTGAGATGCAGTTGCATGTAAGCCTATTCGAAACACTTTGCGATTTACAAGGCTTCGCTGAGAGAGCGAAACAGAAGACGGTATTAAATTGCCGTTTGAAACGAAACGATCTGGACTCTGAACGCTCTCTTCTTTTTTAGAGTTCCTTTATACCAAACGAAATAACTGAAATAAATAAATTTCGTACTTTCCGCCGCCAACAAGAATTGCACACACGATCTGGTAAGTGAGACAATTTATTTATAACAATGGCGACAGCGAAGCACACATTATAAATGCTGATGTGGTCGCACGACTTCCAGATAGATAGATAGATAGATAGATAGATAGATAGATAGATAGATAGATAGATAGATAGATAGATAGATAGATAGTCAATAAAAAAAAATGTTTACAATATCAAACAGAAAAAAAAATTACATTTTGTAAGGCAAGGAAACTCAAAAGAAACCATAAGGGCTTATGTAATTTGGGCCACCTAGATCAAACTACAGTAATACATATATAGCAAAATGTTAGTGTTAGCTGTAAAAACATATCGAGCAAGATACAATGTGTAAACGAACAAACAAAATTTGGATGAAAAGGAAAAATAGACCAAAAAATTGTGATCAGGTTTTTGACAAAGCATAGACAGAAACTATGTTACATTGATTGTGTGTTTAAATAATACAAAATTAAAGTCTAAATAAATATTCTTTAAGTTTTTTCCGAAAACCGGAGACGGATGAAGCATCATATATATTTTTGGGGAGGGAGTTAAAAAATTTAGGACCTTGGTAAATAATACCAAATTTTCTCAGGTTAGTTCTACAAAATGGGAGGAAATACAAATTCGATTGTCGCGTATTATAATTGTGAACTTGGTTAACACATGTGAAATACTCATCAAAATTAGACGATAACATACAATTATGGAACTGATACATAAACAAGCCTAAATGAAACAAATAAATGTTATTAAATGGAAGAATCTCAAGCTCGTTAAAAATGGGATATGCATGTGTGTGCATCATATGAGGTTTTATAAACAATTCTGATCATTCGCTTTTGCAAAAGAGCAATACGATTTAAGATTGAAGGGTAAGTTGAACCCCAAACTAGGATACAATATTGCATGTATGGGTAAACGAGAGCGTAGTACAATGATATTAAAGATCGTGTCGGAAGACAAAAACTAGCTTTCTTGATAATTCCAGATAGATAGATAGATAGATAGATAGATAGATAGATAGATATAGATAGATAGATAGATAGATAGATAGATAGATAGATAGATAGATAGATAGATATAGATGAGTAGTTTTTTAAGCCATTTAAAGCACTTGCATGTAGTCGTGTTTTATCATATATAAAACGCTCGGCTGCGCCTCGCGTTTTAAATATGATAATAGCATAGTTGCCCGGGTTTCTTTTGTTTCAACAGGGTCGATTACTAACTAATCGCCCGCTGTAGCGGGCGATTAGTTCTAATCGCCCGCTAGAGCGGGCGATTAGAACTAATCGCCCGTTACCAAGGGTCACATCTTTGTCTCCCTGACGACTACGCATTAGGCAAGTGCCTCACGCACATAATCGTGCAAGGAACAGCAACAGTTAGCTCAGAGCCGTCAATTGTCTATCATCCGATCCCTGAGTTGCCGCATCATTTAAATTACGCACGTGCAGTCTCCAAATTTATACTAATATATTTAGCGTGTTTGTTGTGGTACGTTAAATGATAGATTGCGCATGCGTAACCGATTAAAGCGTAAAAAGTGCGCATGTGCAACAAGCTTTTACATCCCACAAGCAATGAAGCAAATGTTTTAGCTTAAATGCGCTGATTGCAAGTAGGGCACGTTTGTCCATTTTTAAATGGGAGCGAAACTATGCTATTACAAACTAATAGCATGGCTTTTCGGGAGATTAGTGATTAAATGACCCCTAACCCTCGGCAGGTTTGCGGAATTCCCTCGGGCTTCGCCCTCGGGAATTCTGCAAACCTGCCTCGGGTTACGGGGCCATTTAATCACTAATCTCCCTCAAGCCATGCTATTACTTATAAGAAAACACTCCTTCTCGTGTTTTAAATACTACATATATTTAAAATTGAGACAAAAATATTGAGCCTGCTATGAAATTCACAAAATTCTACTATCGTATTCAATAGCCCCCGGGAGTCTAGCAGAGAAAAGTGTCTTATCGCAGAGTATTCATTGCATAAAAACATGATTAATTAATCACCGATTAGGTTATTAACAACAAAAGACTATCTTACTAACCTTAAATGATAATTCATATTGTTCACCGCCCCAAACTTCCATGCCAGGGTCATACTGGCCAAGATTATCAAAAAATGTTTTGCTAATCGCAAACAGTCCACCAGCCATTATGTCTTTAAAAGTCAAGCGAGATCGTATATTATCAAATTACGCAATTGTCTGCACAAAGATATAACTTCGGCCCCCTATCTTCATTGCAATATTCTTGTTCGAATAATTATCAATAACTACTGTGTGGAGTGCTTATATTTTCGAGATTGTATAACCGGAAATACAATTTTAAAAGTTAAACGTCAACAATGCGACGTTTGTCACGTTGTGCTTGTGCTATGACTCTGAAATTCCAGAAATCAATTCCAAAGGTCAGAGTGCACATCTATGCTTTTATCTGCTCAATGCTTTTATTTCCCAGTGCTACTATTCTATTCAGTAGATGTATGTCCGCCACAGCGGACCTATGTTTTTCAACTCTGGACGTGACCTATACGGTCACGCAAGAAAATGCTCTGCGATTTTTTGCATTTTTTGACTAACTAAATCAAGATATTTCAGAAAATACCATCTACAGTGCTTAATAAGTCAATCGTCCGTTGGATTTTAAAGTTTGTATAAAGTTTTCGTTGTTTCTTCATCCGCGGGTAATACGTCATTGGTATGCTGACGGAGGTTTCTGGCGAAGTTTCATTGAACAAAAGACCGTTTTGCCTGGATTATTTTGAGTTATGTAAATTTAAGCGTGTTGGACGTAAACAACATATCTTGTCCACAACTTTGGGAAGGTACCGATATCGCTTTGTAAAATCCTCAGTTCTGGCTGTGTCTGTATAAAATCACAAGGATGACTGACGCTGACTTTGTACCTAAATCCAACAAAAGTAAAGCCAGTAAGAGAAAGAGAGCTTGGAATGAAGCAAACAAAGCGCTTGAAATGGACAAAGTGTTTTACAATGCTGCGAAGCCAATTGAAACCATTTAAAAGAAAGTAAAGATGAGCATAGCCCTGCTAAATTTCACAGCAACAATGCAATTGGGAAAGATGATGAGGAAACATTGTTTTGTCGCAGTTTGATACCAAGGCTTAGAAGAATACTCCGTCTACATAGAGGATTGGTAAGACTTGAAATTGAACAAATACTTTACCAAGTTGAATGTTCTAGCTTACAAGAACAACAACAACAACAACAATCAAGGATTGGGAGTCAAAGCAGTCAATCTACATTTCATTTTATCACACATGAAGATAAAACATCCCAAGAAAAAAATACTGAACAATAAGTGCCAAGCTATGTACAAATAGCTACAGGACATTATTTCTGTTGTTGTGCAATGCAATTAGGCCTCTTTTGTTTTGACAATATTTATTAACGATATATAAATTCTTAGTAATATATTGTTAACATTTATATTTATTATGTTACATTTCATAACATTGTAAATTTTTGAATTTCATTATATTATACATTGTGTATATTACAATATTAAATGTTCAGTACATAGTTAAAAGATTCATAATTACACTGATTGTGTGTTGCTATTTGTTATTTTCTTTTTTGAGTATTAATTAAGATATAATAAACTTTGCATCATTCAACATTATGATATAATTAATAATTCTTTGTGATGAAAATTTTCAAACATGCTATGTGCATTACGTCACTTGTCTTAGACATGATTAATCCATTTGTAAAACATAAGACAGCCCTATATAAAGACTGTTTTCACTCAATTGATAATTGCTTCTTACTTAATTGTTTTGAACAAAAGCTTGTTAACTAACTGTTAACATTACCACAACTTCGAACATGACATAATTGCCAAGGCACTTGGCCTTCCTGATTAAAATAATCTTTGAGATCATTTCTTACTTTACTAGCATTGAATTTGTATCTGTTTCCTGTCAATCTTCCCAAATTTCTCAATCCTCCATCGTTTTCCACAACTTCTCTCCATTCACCCTGAACTATGTTACCAGCTGAGTCTTCACTATCAATAAACCTCTCTGGAATGTAGGCTGCATTATCTGTTAACTGTAGATAGTTATGCAGACATACTGTGGCTCTGGTAATGTTCTCTACTAAATTAACACTGCCTCGTATTGGCCTTCAAAAATACGCCATTTTGCTGCCAGAATACCAAAAGCATTCTCCATAGTTCTTCGTGCCCTGGATAATCTATAATTAAATACTCTTTCTGGCTCAGTTAAATTCTTGCCCGGGTATGGTTTCATTAACCATTCTTTTAAAGGAAATATATCATCTCCAACTAATACATAAGGTAGACACCTTGTACCAACTTTGACTGGCTGGGGTAAATTTAGGTGTACTGCATGAGATTCAAATGCTTGACCGAAGGCAGAATCTGTCAGAACTCCAGCGTCATTTTCTCGTCCATATGCCCCAATGTCAATCAAGGTAAAACAATATTTAGCATCACACGTCGCCAATATACCGGGTGGCCCAAAAAAAAGTACTCCTGTTTGATTCGTAATAACATCTAAACAAGTATAGCTTTTAAAGAGAAATAACTTGCATCAAATAGAGGAAGGACTAACTTAGACTTTGATATAATTGTTTATTATGAAACAAAGTATTATTATATCTACAAAATACAAGCAAGATTCATTCGTCCGAAATTCGCGTGTGTTCCTAGCACGAATACGTTTCCTTATTTCATGAGACCACTGCATCGCGAAGGATCGTCATTGGATCGTTCGTAGTTCTGAATTAGGGCATGCTGTCACAACGGAACTGTGAAGCTCTTCTAACTTCTGCAACGTTCTGAAATCTTGTTAAGAACACCCAAACTCTTTTAAGTTTGCAAAGACCTAATATTAAATACTTGCATAATTTCGAACGTTCATATTTCAGGAAACAATGAGCTAAGACTTACATGTAAGATGTCTACGCCATATCCCTTACAAACCTTAACGATAATTCGATGTA